TTTGGTGGAGCTGTACAGTTTGGAGGGGGCTAGATTGGAAGAGGGATGGGACATACCCATCTCCATACAGTCATTGATTCAGCAGTTCCAAGAGGTGTTTCAGCCGCCTAAGGGATTGCCACCATAGAGGGAGCAGGAGCACGCTATCATTTTGAGGGAGGGTATGTCACCCATTAGCATACAGCCTTATCACTACCTCAGTGTCAGAAAGATGAAATTAAAAAATTGATTAGAGAGATGTTTGAAGCAAGAATCATTAGACCCAGCGTCATCCCCTTCTCTAGTCCGATTCTATTGGTGAAGAAGAAGGATGGCAGCTGGCAATTTTATGTGGACTACAGAACTCTCAACAAGGAAACTATACGTAACCAAGTTTCTTACACCAGTTATTGACGAGTTGTTAGACGAATTGAGTGAAATAGTGATCTTCAGCAAAATAAACTTGAAATTATGATACCATCAGATCCGAATGAAGGAAGATGTACCCAAGATGGCTTTTAAAACTCATGAGGGACACTACGAGTTCCTAGTGATGCCTTTTAGCCTCACCAATGCTCCACCCACTTTCCAGACACTTATGAATAAGGTTTTTAAACCTTATCTTAGACGATTTGTATTGATATTCTTCGATGACATCCTAGTGTACATTAGGACTAAAGATGAGCACTAGGAGCATTTAAAAAGGGTGTTAGAGGCGCTACAGGAGCACCAGTTGAGAGACCACTTGAAAAAGTGTTGTCTTTCACAAGCTAGTGTAGAGTACTTAGGCCATGTTGTATTAAAAGAAGTGGTGGCAGTAGATCAGTCCAAAATTGAGGCAATGTTAAAGTGGTCAATGCCTAAAAATATGAAGGAACTGAGGGGATTTCTAGGACTGACAGGTTACTACAAAAGGTTTGTAAAGGGATACAACACCATAGCATGACCACTCACTGAGGAGTTGAAAAAGAATGATTTTATATGGGGGGAGGCGGCCACATCAGCATTTGAGAGCTTGAAAAAGGTTATGACTACAGTACAGGTCCTAGTTTTGCCAGATTTCACTCATATCTTTATAGTGGAGATAGATGCATCCGGATACAGGTTGGGTGTAGTGCTTATGCAGAGTGGTAGGCCTATTACCAATTTCAGCCAGGTGTTGACTGCTAGAGCTAAGCTGAAGTCAGTCTATGAGAGAGACTTAATGGCCATCATTTTATCCACCCATAAGTAATGGCCCTACCTACTTGGGAGGCATTCCAATGTCAGGACAGATCAGCAGAGCTTGAAATACCTGCTGGAACAGCGGATGGTGACAGAGGTGCATCAAAGGTGGCTGTCCAAGTTTTTCGAGTATGATTTAGAGATTCGGTATAGACTAAGAGTGGAGAACAAGGTGGCAGATGCCTTGTCCAGATGTATAGGGGAGCTGCAAATAGTGGCACTATTTATTCCTTTGATGCTTGATTGGAAAGCCATAAGTGAAGAAACTGCTAGGGATGAGGATTTGGGGAAGATCAGGAAAAATTTACTGAAGGAAGAGGGTAGCCACCTAGGGAACTCATTGGAGGAGGACAAACTGCTATATCATGGGAGGTTTGTGATGCCCCAGACCTCGATCCACATCCCAAACTTACTTCAAGAGTTTCATGGAAGCACTGTTGGGGGACATTCAAGCGTGCAGAAGACATACAAGATGCTAGCTTCAGAGCTGTACTGAAAGGGAATGCATAAAGATGTAGAAGAGATGGTAGCCAAATGTGAGATCTGTCAAAGGAACAAATACATGTCTATGTCACCAGGAGGACTACTACAGCCGCTGGCTCTACCAGGACTAGTATGAGAGGAGATATCCATGGACTTCATAAATGGGTTGCCCCGTTCAGAAGGTTTCACGGTGATTTTAATGGTGGGACAGGTTGAGCAAGTATGCACATTTCATTCCCCTCCGACACCCCTCCACAACAGTGACAGTGGCTTCAGCTTTCATCACAGAGGTGGTCAGATTATATGGAGTATCAGAGGCAATAGTATCAGATAGAAATAAGGTGTTCATAAGCCAATTTTGGAGGGAGTTATTCAGGTTATAGGGGACAGTTCTGAAGAGGAGCACAGCGTACCACCCACAGACCGATGGCCAAACGGAAGTAGTCAACAAGAGCTTGGAGACTTACCTGAGATGCTTTGTGTCGGAGACACCGAAGCTATGGGCTAAGTAGCTATCATGTGCTTTGTACTGGTACAACACCTCTTTTCATTCTGCTGCTCAAATGGCCTCATTCAAGGTGTTGTACAGAAGGGATCCTCCCCACTTGGTGCACTTTGGGAGTAGCAGTACTTCAATTTCTTTAGTAGATGAGTACTTGGAGGAGAGGGATAGAGTGTTAGAAGAGTTAAAGAGACATTTACTGAGGGCTCAATAGATTATGAAGAAACAAGCTGATGGGCATAGGAAGGACATCCAGTTTGAAGTAGGGGAGCGAGTGTTCTTGAAGCTTCAACAAAATAGACAGAAGACAGCCACCAACAGGAGGAGTCAGAAGCTTGCTCCAAGGTACTTTGGGCCTTATGAAGTGTTGGAGAAGATCGAAGCAGTAGCATATCAGCTGAAACTATCACCAACGGTGACTATACATCTGATTTTTTATGTATCGCAGTTGAGAAAGGCCATTGGTGACTATACAGCTAACTACGAGTTACCGGCGACACTTACTGAGGATTTAGAGGTGGTTCTGAAATCCTTAGAACTGATGGGGGTTCGCTAGAAAGAAGATGAAACTAAGGAAGTGTTGATCAAATAGAAGAACCTTCCTTACTTCGAGGCCGCGTGGGAGCCATACGAGAGAATGAAACATCAGTTTTCTGATTTTCAGCTTGAGGACAAGGTGATTCTTTGGGAGGGTGGTATTGTTAGGCCGGTTCACCCTGAACCGGCCCAACTGACCCAAGGGTCGGCTCAATTTTTCTACAAGAGGCGGAAGCAGTCCGCCTCCCTTTGCTTTGGCCACCTAAAGAGTTGGCCCCACTTGTCCAATGGAATTCAAATTGAAAAGGAAGAGGCGGCTAGGGCTTCGGAGGGAAATTAGATTAGGAAAGCTTTTGTATTAAAGAGGATGAGAGGATTAAGGAGGGATTATGTTTTGACTGATTCTCAATTATGGTTTCTTGGCGGCTTGGGGCTCTAAACTCTCTTGTCTAGAGATTTGGGAGAGTCAATCCTCCTCTCGAATTGAGGATCTCTTGTATCTTTGTTTTGTTCTTGTTTCACTTTACTTTCTATAAGATTAGCTATCGTTTGATTGTTCTTCCACCATATTTTTTCATTTTTCTTGTTGTTTTACCGATTATTGTTAGGTTTGCTTGCGAAAGCAATTAAATCCGATAGGATTACTTGCGAACTCATGTATTTCTTATCAATTTAGTTGCGCCCCAACATATCTGTATGTGGTGCAAGTAAAGCTCAACAATATCGAAAACCACATTCACTAGCATTATTGTAGTTTGAAACAATTGTTGCACTTAATCTACATGACCACAGAATGTATGAGAAGTATAGTGTGGCACTTAAAAAATGAATTTTCATGCAAGGATCTATTTCATAGAGATCAGCAGGTTATATCCACAATAATTTATTGTATGATTTCTTTACATCTTTGAAGGTCCTAATAAGATCTCAAAAGTCGCATCAACCAACCCTGACCAAGTATAAGGAAATCCCAATTTAGAAAAAAAAAAAAACAAGTGCACATGTTACATTGAATTATGTATAGCAAATAGCACGCTTCATTTCTTAAGTAGATCCATGGAGGCGTTAAATACAGTGGCATATTAGTTAAATAACAACATTCATTAACTTTATGCTGTACCACCTAAAGCACCAATTCCACAATCTTCTCTTTCAAAACTCTAAAATCTCATCCCTGGAAAATTTGTTTTCATTAATGTTTGATTCCTCATGAAGAATAAATCCTAGATATCAGACGTGCTTAAGTCAATTTATTCTAAACAACACAGCTGTGATGCCTATTATCGAAGGAGATTTTTCCAAAATAACACCTACAATAATTGTTTTCTAGATAATGCACAGAGTACAACATCAATTATATTAACAAGAAAGTGAATTTAACGAATGGAAGTGAAATGTAACAAATAAAATTTTAGATCAGAGAAACATTGAGGATATAGAGTCAAATATCAAATGAAAAGAGAGTAAGGCTGGCCTTGGCACCAATAATGGTAATACAGTATTAAGTCCCCAGCTATGATGCACAGACACGGACATGGCGACACGGATACGATACGACACGGACACGGGACACGCCAATTATTGAAAATATAGGACACGGACACAAGTTGGACACGGTATTATAGTTTTTTATATTTTAAAAATAGTGTATAAAAATTAAATAAGTATAATTTTAAAAATAATTTGAAAAAAATAAGTCATTTAACTAGAATTTGTGCTTAAATTGATTAGTATTAGGATGTCGAGAGTCAGACGTCAATGTCGTTTATGTCACCGAGAGAGGAGATAAAAATACATTCACTGCCAAAAAGAAATGAAAATGAGAATATTCGATGAATGTGTATTAAGTGCAGACGTTGATTTGGTGTTGTGGATAAGAAATAAGAAATTTAGTTTAAATTCCGGCATCCCGCCAAATACAAGAAATTGTATTTTAAAAAAATTAATAAAATACTTAAGATACGTGTGTTGGACACGCGTGTCCAATATTTTTTTAATCAAACACGTTTTCGGGGTGTCCGACACATGTCAGAGGCGTGTCGAACGAGTGTCGTGTCGGATACGTGTCGGACACTGCACGCCTCTTTGAGGAGAAGTGTCGGTGCATCATAGGTCCCCAAAAACCAATAAATCATAGGCAAACAAAATACTATCATAGTAATAATAATGTAGAAATATAACAAGTTGTTACACATAACCTTGGTAAAGCAAGAGTAAGCAGTATCACCATTTTAGTGAAAGACTTTGAACACTGACATACAAGAAAAGAACATACCCTTGAGAGTAAGCGTACTCCCCATCAATTTGTAGGATAAAGAAAACATGATTGCCATCATGCACAGCCTATAAAAATAGCCCAATAAGTTTTTTATAAATAACATTATAACAAATGTGTTTAGCAAACAATTAATACAAACTCCTAACGCAATTGAAAATATAGTCATAGAAGCAACTAAATGAATATGGAACTCAAAAATCACATCCAAAAACTTAGGGAGAATGGATTCAAACTCATTGTTTGAAATACTGTGCTGACTAGATGCTTGGATAATTATGGGGATAAAAATTTCAGTGTTATGGTTGCCCAACTAAAAACCAAATGCAATTTCAGTGTTATTCACATTTACTGCAAGACTGATCCCGTTCTATGAACCAGATGGAAAATTATTCATATATTTCAAGGAATAGCCCAACTATTCTCCAAGGATAGATTAGTCTTTTGCTGAACACTGATTAAATTGACAAGAATTTTAATCCTATAATTGTCGAAGATTTATGGACTATGTTGTCTCATTTCCTGGTGGTGAATTCTTCCCTACTTTCACAATTCCAACTTCTTGTTGAATTGGTTGAGGGTCGCACGGGTAGCGACCACTTGCTTAATGGTTTCGTGGAGGAGTCCCGGACCAAATAATATTAGGGAGATTTTAGTTCTTCAGAAATATTTTTGGATAAAATTTATTATTTTATCTCCCTAACCTACTTATAAATTTAAAGTGGCAATTGAAACTTAAAAAAATAAAGTGAGTACGTACAGTTGTGGTAGTAGACTAATTTCCGAAACATTAAAATATATATAGCTTCTACAATCGTCTCGTAAATTTTTCATTCATTCATTTGATTTCCATTTTAACAATAGATATTAATTTCGCAAGCAAAATTCACCGAATGCAATACCCCAACAATTTGCTGAAATCTAAACTAATCCCTAGCATTTCTATAAAGCGCAAAAAAGATCCATAAAAGCCGCAATGGCCACCAACAGCGAAGGTTAGTCTTGGGCTGAATGCAAACAGTCCCTTGGAGATTATGAATGAAATTCGAACCTTAATGCTAATCTTCCCGCCTGTATATTCCTTGTCCGCGTCAGGATCGAGGGCTGGAAGGAGGCTGAACTCAGAACCTTCGACTCCGGCCCAGTCGTCGGCGTGACCATCGACGGTGATGATCCCTGGACGGTAATCTGCAACTATGCGAACGTCAGGGCTAACCTCGCAGCTTCCGGCCGCCACATCGTCGTGGCCCTCGTGCGGTGCGGCAAGAGGAATGGTGACGAAGAGGACGATTGCGGAGAGAAGGAAGAGGCGTAGCATAGTGGCAGGTACCGAAGGAGGACAAATAGGCGGAACCGGCGCGGCGGAAGCAAGATTAGCATTTATAAGGTGACGAGGGAGCCGTAGACTTGGCGGCCGGCCGAGGGGGACCGGCGATGAGATGAGAGATTTGACTTGGTTTGCATGAAAAGACGGTTGTAGCCATGGGTTGGATAGCCTTGCACGCTGCGTAGAAAATATCAGCTCCGTACTACTAACGATGAGAGAGAAGCTCCGGGTTTCTTTCATTTTATGAAACTCTAATATGTACTTAGCTCGTTTTTTATTTTTATTTTTTTTTTATTTTTTAACTGTTTTTCGGTCGTTCTACCCTTTGATTACTACCTCTTTTATTAGTTCTTTAGGTTTTTTTTTTCTTTGAATCTTGCTCTTTCTTCTTCTCTTATTATTTTTCATCAATTCTTTTTCTGATTTTTCTCCACTAAAATCAGATCTGAATTATGTTCGATCTAAGGAATTTTCCTACTTTTCACCCATCTAGTGAGGCAGAGAACTTGGAATCACTTTTACCTTCCCTGGTACATTGGAGTAGGGAGGTCCTTTGATATCAAAGAGATATTCTTCTTTCCAAAACATACCTCAAAATAAAACTTAAATATGATGGTTCTAAAATGCAAGCTTGTCAATGCAACCTTGTGAACCCGCCTCTACACTTCGTTAAAACCCATAAGAATCTTCTCCCTCTCAAACTCCACCTTTCCTTTCTCCCTTTCAAGGCTCTCTCTTCAAGTTCTTTTCTAGAAGAACGGAGACTCAATGCATTTCAAAGACTCTCACAAAATCTTATGAGAAAGCTTAAATAAAGGGCTTCGAAAAACCCTACAAATTCAATTCATCCATCAAAGATCATAATGTATGACCGCAAGATCCTCTAGTACGATGTGTAGAATTTGTCATGTTAGTATTGTACAATCATTAGTATGAACATTAGTATAAACAGTTCAATTTGCTTATTAGTGTTGTGAGATCATCAATATGAATGACTGATCGTACGGTAAGATTAGTTCAACCGAAATATAGTTTGTCTAGGATGAATCATGGGATGACCAAATAGTCTCTATTGATCATATAGTATGATCTAATTCATATAGTACGATCAAAATGTCCAAATTAAGCTGATTCGATTGATTAATCATATGATTAAATTAGGCAATATATTAAATATCATACAGTATGATTAGTTTCGTACAATATGAATAGAATAACTTTTCCAATTCAAAATTTTATCTAATTTAATAAACTGATGAGTTTCTAATTATAACAAATCGTCCAGTACAATGTAGTATTTGTAATGTACGAATAATTATATTTTAAAATGTTTTTTTTCCAAAAAATAATATTTTAATTAGTTCCTATAATATCAGATCGTACAGTATAATCTATTTCATACAGTATGATGTTAAAATAAATTAAAATATTTAAAGTTATTTTTTCTCTCATTATGTGTGTACATGGTCACTAGGCTAGCATACACCCTTACAAGACTTGAATCAAGAAATTAAAGATAAATAGATGAAAATTATAGACTCTTTCAACATAACCTATTCTACCCCATCTTAAGCCCAGAATCTTCAAATAATAGTGCATATTGTACTGAAAAAGTTAGTTAACATACAAACAAATATGTACTAAAAATAGCAGGAGAAATATAGAGGTAATCAATATTATTTGTTATCATTAGAATCATAAACTCGGGCCCTTGTTTTAATAGAAGACTATGACTTAGAATGGTCGGGTGCTCCCTAGTTTTTTCTTTGGAAAGTCATTTATTATTCAAAAATTATCATCCCTTTTTAGACCTAAATAGGAAGAATTTACTTTGATTCCTTTTTGGATCAAAATTCTTGATCTTCTTTTAGTGTGCTAGATGCTGGAAGGCATTTCTAAAATGGCTTGTTTGATCAGGATTTCGGTTGTTGTAGATTTTTTAATAGCTGAACAAACTTGGCTCACTTTTGCTAGGGTTCGTGTTTTAGTTACTAAAGATTCTTGTCTTCATAATGAAGTTAATATCTATTTCAATTGATGGAAACATTTTTTTCTCTTAAACTCATTTATGATTGGAAACCCACTCCCTATCAAGGTTGTGGATATATTGCTCATCCTTCTTCGTTATGCCCAACTAACCCAAAGTTTGCTAGTGAAAAATTGGTTTATAATCTAGAACCTTATAGGGGAGTAAGTAAAAGCAGGAAGCACTAGAAAGAAGTTTTACGAAGACCTTCTTCCAAGAATCAGCATAATTTTTTAACTCAAAAGTTGGATCAGTCTTTTATTAATCCTATTTTATCTGATCATCTATTAGCTTATTATGATCCTAATATATCTGATAGTGTTTTAAATTCTAATTTGTCTAAGATTGCTATCAATTTTCAAAAGAATTTGAATATTTATTCAGAAAATCTGAAGGTTTTGGATAATTCTAAAATGTTGGTTGCCTCTTCTTCAAAAGAGACATTTCTTAACTTAAATTTTCCTTCGAAAGATATTGTTTGTAATCTCCATTTAAATTATATTTTGGGTGTTTCTAATGTTCTTTTATCAGCATAATAAGTTTTAGCTGTTGGAATCTATTTATGGTTATCTTAATAATTTTTAGAATTCTGAAGATATTCCCATTTAGGGAATTTTTTCTACAGCTGTATATGATAATGACCAATATAGTTTTAAAGTGTTTATTGCTACTAGTAAGTCTACTAGATCTAAAACTACCAAGAAGGCAACCACTTTGAATACTAAACATTAATTTTTTTTTCCAAATTTTATTTCTTGGAATGTGAGAGGCATTAACTGTTCAGAGAAAGTTAAGGCTTATACTAATCTTGTCAAAAAGTTTGATGCTGAATTATATTGTATTCTCAAAGAGAGAGTTAATCCAGATTTTGTTGGTAATAATTGGTTTGAAGCTAAACACATAATTTTTCATATTGAAGGTAGCTGGAAAATTTTTAATTTTTCTTCGACTTGTAGAATTTTATTAAAGTGGAATGCCTCTTGTATTTCTTTTAATTCTATTCTTATAATTAGTCAGCTTATTCATGGAATTATCACTTTTGGTTCTTATTCCTTTTTTATCATGGTTAGATATGCTTCCAATTTGATTTCTGGTAGAATTAATCATTGGAATGACATTATTAATATTTCTATTAATATCCCTTCTCCTTGGATTTTGTTAGGATATTTTAATTGTTGTTGTCTTAATAATGAAAAAATTGGTAGGAATTCTCTTTTTTTTAGCAACTTGGGAGATTTTAATAATTATATTTTTAATTCTAGGCTTATTGAGCTTTCATTTATTGGACATTTTTATACTTGGTTTAATCAACAAAGAAATAACCCTATCCATATCAAATTAGATATCTTGTTTAAATTCTTATCCTTCTTCATACTATGTAGTTGATAATCCTCTTTGCTCTGATATTATCCTCTTATTGTTCATAACAATAATAGAGTTTCCTCCGGATCTAGATTTCTTTTTAAAAAATTCTGATGTAAGAAAGCTGAATTTTAGGAATTGCTTATTGAGGTTTTTTCCAAACCTAATGTTGTAAATCCCGTTAATAACCTTTTATGGTAAGCTTCGTATACTGAAAGGATTAATTAAAAAGCAATATTGGGCTTCTTCTAAGCATCTTTCTTCCTATATTGAGGTGCTTAAAAATCAGGAAAGTGTTATTTGTTGTCATTTACAGAAGGATCCACTTAATCAAGAACTTAATTTGGATTTTACTAACACTAATTCTCTTCTTAAAGAGAATCTATCTTTTTTTACTTCTTGGATCTCTCCAAGGCCTAAATAGAAGTGGGTGACTTGTGGAGAAGATGATTTAAGTTTTTTATATTCTAAAATTAAGTGCAAACAAAACTCCTATTGGATTCATGGTATTTCTTCATCTCATGGGATTGTTTCAGATTCTAAGGAAATTGCTCAAGAATATATTTAATTCTCCTATTCTAGCTAAAGCTACGTCTTTCAATATTTATGCTGGTAATGTCATTCTTGATTGTTTAAAGGCTACTTTGATTCTTTCGGTTATGGTAAAAGAAATTAAAAAAGGTTGCTTTTAATAACTTGAAATCTTCTGCCCTAGGACCAGATGGCTATACCTTTGAATTTTTTAAAAATTATTGGGAGATTGTTGGTAATGCACTATGTAAGGCTATTCTTTACTATTTCTAAACTGGTATTATGCCTAGAGTTGCTAAAGCTACTACTGATTTTGTTATCCTAAAAGGAATAATACTTTTAATGTTTTAGATTTCAGGCCTATTTTCTTATGCAATGTCTTTTATAAAATTATGAAAAAAATTTTGTCTAACATATTACAATGTGTTATGCCTCACATTAATCATAATTGCCAATCAGGTTTTATTAAAAAGAGGATTTCTACGAATAATTTCATTATTGCTACTGAACTACTTAAAGATTTTAATTGTTCTTCTAAAAATAAGTTATTTTGTGCTCAATTTGATATCCATAAGGCTTTTGATATAGTGTCAAGAGATTTTTTAATTTCTAGGATGATTTAAAAAGGTTTTCTTAATACTTACATTACATGGATTAAAGGCTGCATAGAAGATGTTTATTTTTCTGCTATTCTCAATGGTTCTATGCAAGAGTTTTTTAATTCTTCTTCGGATCTTCAGCAAGGCTGCATGCTTTCTACTTATCTCTTTTGTATCATTATTGATGCTCTTTCTAATATTTTGTAAGATTGTTCTCATACTTATTGCTTTGAGGGGATAAAAGTTGGAGATAATTCTCTTTCTCATCTTCTCTATGTGGATAACCTTCTCATTTTTGGAAAAGCTTCTTTAGAAAATGCTCATAATCTTAATGAGATTCTATATTACTTCTCCTCTATCTCTAGTTTGTTCATTAATTCGGATAAAAGATCTCTTATTATATTTAAAGATTGTCATTTAGAAGTTCCTATCAGTTTTATTCTTGGAATTAGAATTTCTTTGTATCCTTTAAAATATTTGAGTTTGCCAATATCTGGTATGAAACTTAAAATTTGTGATTTTCAGCCTTTATTTAGTCATATTATGATTATTTTGGCTGGTTGGAAAGCTAAATTGCTTTCTTTTGCAGGTAGGGTTCAATTCCTAAATTTTACGATTTTTAATATTATTTCTTATTAGATTAGAGGTATGCTATACCTAAATACTCTTTTAAATTCATTAGAAAAGTGTGCTATAATTTTTTT